CGCGTGTCCTTGCCCCCGCAGGGCCCCCGGGCGGGCTGTGAGCGCGGCCGGCGCTGGCGGTGGCGGTGCGGGTGCCGGCCGCCCGCCGCGCCGCACGGAGCATGCCTCTGAGCCCCGCCGGCAGCCAGCATGAGAGCCCCGAGTCGCCGCCGCCGGAGCCGCCGCCGGAGCGCCAGCCCCGCGCCGCCGCCGGGGAGCCGAGCGCCGGCCTGCGGGAGGAGACGCGGCTCGACCCGGCCCGGGGCCCCGCAGGGCCCCGCTCCCCCAAGCTGGCGGCCCCGGCGCGCATGGAGGAGCCCGCGCCCGGCGCCATCGTCGTCCGCATCGGCATCCCCGACCTGCAGCAGACGGTGAGTGCCCCACCGGCCGCGACCCGCGCCTCGATGCGCATCCCCGCGACCCGCTCCCCGAACCGCATCCCGAGCGGTGCCGGCCCCGCTCCGCCACAGCTCCCGCCCCGGCACCACCCGGCAAACTTCGCACCGCCGCGGGCGAGGGGCGACCGGCTACGGGCCCGGCGGGACGGGTCCCCATCGCCCCGCTCCCCCGTGCCGCTTCCCCGCTGTCCCGCTCTGCGCTGCCCCCGTCCCTGGTGCCCCCTTTCCGTTGCCCCAGCTCCCCATCGCTCCACTCCCCAGTGCCCCTTCCCCACTGCCCCGCTCGCCGCTATCCCCGTCCCCGGTGTCCCCATCGCCGCTGTCCCCATCTCGGGTGTCTCCAGCCCCGGTGCCCCCGGTGTCCCCTCCCGCTCCCCGCAGAGCCCGGCGCGGGCAGCCCCGGCGGCAGCGCTGCCTCCCCGGGGGGCTCGGGGCCCCGGTGCGGCCGCACCGGCCGGGATGGGGCTGTGTCCCGCTTCCAGGGGGACGGTGGGGCTGGGAACGGGGAGCGGGTGCGGCTCAGGAGGCGCCAGCACCAGCCTGGTACCGGTACCAGAACTGCGGCGGGACTGGCTCCAGCAGCGGCTGGGCCGGGCTGCGGGAGCTCGGAGCCCAGCGCTGGGGTGGGATGGTGGCCCGTGTGCGTGGGCTGTGCCCGGTGTGGGCTGTGGCGGGTGCTGAGTGCTCCGCTGTGCCGGACGGTGACACTGCGAGGTGTGACGTGCCGGGTCGTGGTGCCCGTGACACAGGTGGGACAGGCTGACGTGACCTCCCGGGAGCACGGGTGTGACCCAGGAGGGCGCAGGCTTTGTGAGGTGTTAGCCAGGGTGGCACATGTGGCACGGAGGGTGGTAGGACGGGTGGTCAGCGGGGGTCTGGCAGAGGGCAGCGATCCCCCCGGACACTGGGGGTCACCTGGCATTGGGTGCTTTATGGGGAGTAAGAGCTTGGAAACAGCCTGGTCAGCGCAGGGGAGGGTTGGCCGAAGGGCTGCGGTAACGGTGGCCCTAACGAAGAGCCCTCATTAGAGGAGCTCAGGGGGCAGTGCTTGGGGTGCGGGGCACAGGGAACCCGTGCTCCAGGAGGAGGAATTGTGGGCAGGAGAGGGGGAGCCCCCTTGGGATGAGGGGAGGAAGATGAGGCGACAGACTTGGAGCGGGCAGAGCGTTGCTGGGGGTGGAGGGGACTGAGGGAAACGAGAGCTACGCTATTTGGTTGGAAAGAGCTCTCTTTTTGGGGCCAGGCACGGGGGTCCTGAGGAAGGGGTCGCGGCGGGGAACAGAGGGCTTGCTGGAGGGCAGCGATGCTGGGGCCGAGGGCCAAGGCTTGGGGCCGAGGTGCTGCTCGCAGGCTGCTCTGCAGGCTGAGCTGCCGGGGAGCGGCAGAGACGGGCGAGGCAGCGCTGCCGCTGCTGTCGAAGAATCGGACAGACGCTGCTCTCGCTGCTCTAGCGGGGACTGACCTTGTGCTGCGGAAAGGGCTTTAACTCCGCTCGCTCCCCCCCAGTGCCCGCTGGGGTTGTGAACGGGGGGGCAGGGGGGCTGCCCCGTCCCCTGAGCGCCGGGTTAGCGCAGCACATCAGCACATCAGCTCCTCCTCTGCCACTCTGCGCACACCCCTCCCTGAGCTGGTGCTCCCATGGGTCTCATCCTGCCCCGGTCCTCACCCCAGATCCCGCAGCACGGGGGGCCGAGGGCTGTCGGAGAGGGCTCTGCCCGTGGCCCTGCTGTCCGGCTCTCTGCTTTGCTGTTCCCTGGGCACTGCCCCGCACCTCCCGCCCCTGCCTTGCTTTGTTTCGGGAGTGTCCGTGGGCAGCGGAGGAAGCAGCGGTGACTCCTTTTCTCCTGGAGAGCGGCAGTCGGGCTGAGGGCACGTTGTGACCTCCCCCCCCTCCCAACAAATCCTCTCTCTTAGGGGTCTTTTCCAACCCAAGGACCATCCCCAGAGCCAGAGCGGAGCCGCTCGGCTTTGCCAGACCGAAGATCCCCCGGAGGCAGCGGAGGGAATGGGGCACTTGAGGCAAAGCTGAGCATCTTTGCATGTGAATAGTAGGAATTTCCCTCCCACACCTCCCTTCCCCAGTGGTGCAACCCCCGTGGGCTGGGGGTGGGAGCCGCTGCAGAGACTGGGGGGCTTAGCGGGCTGTCTGGGCTGGGGATGCCGTTCCTCTCCCCC